ACCATGTGGGAGGAGGAGATTTGGCTAGACAGCTCCCCTTTTCCTCAGGCTGGGTCAAGCCTGAACCTTGTTAGAAAGCCACAGTAGGGTGGGGGTGAGGAGGAAATTTCTTCTTAAGATTCAGGCTCCATCCCAGGCTCCCTGGGTTTCCAGGCTTAGAACCAGACCTCAGAAGGGACAGAGCACTGTTGTGTGGGCAGCTCTCTGGGAAGGCAGTGGCTGATGGAGGTGATCTGTGTCCTGGGCTTGATAGGGGCAGCTCCTTGAGATGCCCACATGGGATCTTAGGTGTCAACCCATTCCACTGTCAGAGTGGTCTGAGCAGTGGCTGTGGTGGGAGGGCCTGCTGACAGCATGCCTTCTCCTGAACCCACAAAGCTCATCAGGGTGGCATGTGGTCCAGTTCAGAGAAACCAGGGAGCCCAGGTAAGCAGGACCAGCTATGGAAGATGTCCATGTCCTACCCCCAAGAACCTGAGATTGGGGGCCTTCACCCAAAGGGAAAACAGGCTTCAGATGGCACGAAGGGGGCTCACAGGGAGCCTAGCACTGGTAGAGCAGGTGGCCCATGTCATCACAGGAAAAAGGAGAACGCTCAAGAGTGAGAGCCAGGGGAACCACATAAGCCCTCTCCTAGGTGGACTGGAGTAAGCTAACCTCACCCCACAGGCATTCCTGTCAGCCATTTCATTTATTTATTTGTGTTATTTGTGTGTGTGTGTTGGCACCCATGAGCGTGTGAGTGCATGTGCATGTGTGTGTGCATACAGGCCAGAGGCAGACATCAGGTCTCTTCCTCAATTGCTCTCCATTTTAGTCAGTGAGACAAGGTCTCTTGCTGAACTTGGAGCTTGCTGATTTTGCCCTGGCCAATCCCCTGTCTCCTTAGTGCTGGGACTGCTGGTGGGCTACCACACTCACCCTGTGTTTATGAGCATTCTGGGAATCCGAACCCTGGTCCTCATGTCTGCACAGCAGTGCTTTATCCACTGAATCATCTCCCTAGTCCACTGCCTGCCATTTTTAGATGTTCGGTTCAGGAAGAAGCAAGGTGTTGCTCTGTGCACCCAAAGGCGTGTGTCAGCCTCTTCAAGACGGGCTGAAGAGGGGTGACAAAAGTCTCTCTGGTAGCAACGTGCCCAGGCCTCCCCAAGGAAGGTCCTGGCTTTGAGAGACACTGCTGGGCAGGTCATTCCTTGCCCACTGCAAATAATGACAGACATCCTTTCTCCAACTTCCTGCTTGGGCTGTTGGACTTTGTGTGCACGGAGGGGTGAACCCTTAGGCCTACGGTCACTGGGCCACCTGGAGCCTCTCCGTGGACAGGAAGGCAGGTGCTGCAGAGGGCAGAACACACGTCTCAGGCAAGATAGAAACACAGGGAAAATGACAGGGACATGAGAAGGATAAAAGGACCTCACCCTGGAGTCTGACGGAAGTTTCTGCTTCCTGCCTTCAGAGAATTCCAGCACGATTAACTGATGAAGGCCTTTCAGCCTTTCCACTTACAAATCTACAATTTTCTAGGAATCTCATCAGAAACCCAATTCACAGGGAAAGAGCACATACTAACCCTTGTGTCACCTCAGTGGTTTCTGGCTTTATCAGATTATAATTCTATCCAACTCCTCTCTAGAGCCACCCTATGATCCCACTATAATAATCATAATATAATATAATCTCACTATAATAATCTATAATGGTAAGAGAAAGGGGAAATGGGTCTCTAAGCAACCTTTTGCGGTGTAATCTGAGAGCGACCAGACAGCATCTAGAACTACTGCTAATGTCGTAGGGGGCTGGTCTTTGAGAGTGACAGAGCCTATTTCTCAACTCAGGTGGGCTTAGCCCAGAGAACTAGGGTCCCAGGAACCCAACAGCTGCTCAAGTCACTCTGAGCCAGTGGCTCCCAGATTTGTTGGCTCAGAAATAGGACAGTTGAAAAGCAGTTCCCTGCAAGGGCGGGGACTGGAAAGTGAGTTGCCAGTCTAGACTCCTTGGCTGGGACCTTTTGATGCTCAGTACCCAAGCCTGGTTGGTTCTGGCCTTTATGTCCTCTAAGGATTGAGTTTAGAGCCTCCTGTTTGGCAGAGGTGAAGAGGCCTGGGGGACTCTTGGAGGAAGACTCAGGCTCAGGAAAAGGAACATCCACCAAAAGGTTTCAAGAAGGGAGGAAGCACCAGAAAACCAGGAGAGCAGTGGCCGGTGGTTAGCCAGTACTGTCTTGGTGACAGGGCCTTTTAAAATTCACAGTTTCTGAGTTAAATCTGAAGCGTTGGCGGGCTGGAGAGATGGCTCGGCAGTTAAGAACACTGGTTGTTCTTGCAGAAGACCTGGGTTTGAATCCCAGCACCCACACGGCAACTAACAACTGTCCATAACTCCAGTTCCGGGGAATCCAACACTCTCTTCCGACTTCCGAGGGCATTGCACGATACGGGTGCACTTATGCAGGCAATACACGCAAAAGCATAAGATAATAAATAAAATATTTTAAAATCTGAAGCGTTGGCAGCTGATTGTATAGCTTTGGGGTCCGGTCTCCACATTTACTGTAGGTACAGCGTTCATGCAGAAGCCTTTTCTACTTTGCAGATGTCTTCAGCTCACTGCTTCTGTCTGTGTGGAAGTGACTGAGCAATGGGCTCTGCCAGGGGATTATCTCCTGTCTCCTGCCTCCTCCTCTGTGTCACTAGACATGAATTTCAACTCTCTACTGAGGAGCTGGTACCTACACCTGGGGACAGCTTGCTTTCTGTGCCTCCTCCTTGGGAAGCCTATAAACACACCCACCTGGAACTCACTATGTAGACCAGGCTGGCCTCCATCGCACAGAGAACCACCTGTCTCTGCTTCCTGAGTGCTGTGATTACAGGCGTGCACCACCACACTCCTATTTATTTATTTTTAAATTAGTTTGTTTTTATTATGTGTATGAGTGTTTTGCCTATGCATAAGTGCACGCAAGTGTTCAATGCCTATGGAGGCCAGAAGAGGGTGTTGAATCCCCTGGAACAGGAGTTATAGGTTATTAGCTGCCATATGGGTGCTGAGAGCTGAATCTGGGTCCTCTGCGAGAGCAGCTTACAATAGAGCTCTTAACTATCGAGCCATCTCTCTAGCAACTATTTATTTGGTTCCGAAACAAGGTCTCACTATGTAGACCAGGCTAGCCTTGAACTCACAGAGCTCCTCCTGCCTGCTGAGTGCTGGGATTAAAGGTGTGCACCACTACACCCACCTTTAAAGAAAATATTTATGCTTATCTGTGTGAGCATGCACCATGTGAGTGCAGGTGCCTTCAGAGGCCAGAAGAGGGTGTCAGATCCCCTAGAGCTCAAATTAGGGCCAGTTATGAGCTGCCTGTTGTGGGTCCTGGGATCCGAACTGGGGTCCTCTGGAAGAGCAGCAAACACTCTTAACCACTGAGCCATCTTACCTTCTTTCTCAGCCTTTCTCCTAACCCTCATACTTAAAGCCTATATTAAAGTTTTCTTCAATAAAATCTGCCACTCTGCTTTATATTGACTAGTCCTGAAATTTATTTCTGCATCAAAGCCACAAATCCCAGTTTGACCTGAGTCAAGGTCCCTAAAAGGTTAGGGGAGCTTGTCAGGCTGCTAAGGGTGACAGTGTGGTGACAGTGTGGAGCTGGTCTCTGCCCCTCACTGGTGACACTTCCATACACTCTGTACATACCATAATCCTCGCCCCAACAATACAACTCCAGCCCCAGCCAGCCTGGCCCCTGGCAGCTTGCTCTGTCCCGAGTCCAGCATCCCACCCACCTTTCCATGTCCATGTCATCCCAGCTGTCTGCAAAGCTCTAGTTCATCCTGTGGCCAAGATAAAGCAACCTCATCATCTTGCCCAAATTTGGGTTATTGACTCAAATTCCTGGGGAGGAGGGGCCAGGCAAGCGAATGCTGTAGTTACAAGGAACCCCCTAATCAGAGCCACTTTTCATTTTAAGCACCCCAAAAGGCCAAGGTTGGACCCACAATATTTGTGCTTCTGTTCATTTGTTGGCCAGTGATGGGAACCCAGCCGGACTCACATAGAACACACACATAGCTGACACGTCTTGAGAAAGCCAAGGCCTTCCCACTCCCTGTATGCAGAGACGTTCAGCTGTCCAGCTGGGGCCTGCCTCAGTAGAGCCTGGGGGAGGGATGGCAGGGCCTCTCCTGCAGGATAGGGGATCAGCAGAAGGTGTAGGGCTAAGTCAACCAGTGGTTAGTCCTTCTGTACAGAGCCCCAAGCCAACTGACCATCTCCAGATGGTGGGACCACCAGGGTCATCCCTGTATCCAAGGAAATACACTCTTTACTCAGAACCCAGTCTTCTTAAGTGCCAACACCCTATTCCCGCCAGATGCTTAAACTCCAAGAAATTCCATGAGAATTTGGGACGACCAGAGTCCCGGGTGTCAGATGATGGCAAGTTTGTAAGTCTAAAAGAGATAGCTGATATTCCAACAGCATCAAGAGGCACCCACTGTGTGACAGTTTGGGCTGAGCAGGACACGGGTCAATCTCTGGCCAGGAGGTTTTAGTAGGAATGATGATCCTACTCTGAGCTAAATGGACGCCCAGATCTAAGTCAGAAACTCGCGGCCTTCCACCTTTAGGACACACAGGCTGAGGTGCTGATGAGATAGATATACAGATGCTTCTAGACACCCAATTGGATCCCTCCCCCCAATATTGGAGTGTGTGATGGTATTTACATGGTCATGTTGATCTACATGAGACGTCACAAGACATGAGATCCTTTCTTTGGTGGGGAGGCTCAAAAGGATTCATGTTAGGGAACTGAATGGGCAGCAAGTAAGTGTGCACACTTCTAGAGAAAGGGCTTCAGAGGGGCATGGGACACCTGAGCATTGCATCTGGAGCCTGGGAGTCTCTCGGTGCTTGTCGCTCACGGAATCTGTCTCAGTCTCCATCACCCGGGCTGGTGCCCTGTCCCAGGGGGAGGACAGAGGGCAGGCGGTGACTCAGGGCACCATGTTCCACCACTTGAAGGTGAAGGGCTCCCGGCGCACGTTGGTTCCGCAGTGTACTTCCCCGTGCAGCATGTGGTATGGTGTGAAGTCATCAATGAAGCTGCAGTGCAGGCCCAGGGGCTCCAGCAGGGAGCGCACCTTCTCCTCTAAGCAGCAGCGGCCGTTGATGATGGGTCCAAAAGGCTTGGGGATCCCCAGGTGTTTCCCCAGCACCAGCATGTTCACCTGCGGAGCGGGGGCGGGGGTTTGGGGCTCGAGTCAGAGGCAGTACCCTACCATTAGCTTCCCACCCTAGAAGCCTCAGAAGAGCCTGGAATTGTCTTTTAGGCAGCCTTGAAAATAACTACATGCCCACACTGCAGTGGTGGGCAGATGGTGATAAAAGCTGTTGGTTGGTTGGTTGGTTGGTTGGTTGGTTGGTTGGTTGGTCGGTCTTTTGAGACAGGGTTCCCCAGTAGACCCAGCTGACCTGGAACTCACTATGGAAACCAAGTTGGCCCCGATCTCAGAGAGATCTGCCTGCCTCTGCCTCCCCGGGCTGGGATTAAGGGTGTGTACCACCACACCCAGGCTGATAAGAGCCTGTTGACCAGATGTTTCAGGAGCATCTACAGAGCTCACCAAGGTGGCTTTCTAGTCACTGCCTTCCTTATTGGTGAACTCTGGAGATAGCCATGTTTGTGCCACAGAAGCCCAACCTTCTAGGCCGTCTCTGATTGGACCGGGTTGAACAGCTGACCAAGATGGCCCATCAGATTCTTTCTCCCATGAATTTAGAGTTAACTATGGCAGAACATTCTCCATCTTTGCCTGTGCAAGACCTAAAACATACAGCTATTTCCAAGTCTGCAGGGGCAGAGCAGCCAAGGAGAGAGAGGTGGAGAGGGAAAGAGAGAAAGAGGTATGGACACAGGAACAAGAGAGCGGTCCGGGCCCTGTGGCAGCCGTCGCTGCCTTCGGATGTCACAGTGTCATATCAAACCTCTGGCTGAGCCAGCTTGAGTGGACCTCTGCATCTTAGCAACCCTGAGAGCCGGAACCCTTGCACAAGCTTCGGGGAGTGTGTGCATTCATGCCAAGGCAGCTTTAAGCACACAGGAAGGAAGGAAGGCAATAAGAGGCTTTGCAAGTGAGAGCAAAGTCAGAAAGGGAAGGAAACGCGGGCTGGAGCAATGCTGGTGTCCGCAGGCAGGTTCTGAGGGTGAGTTAAGTTGCATGAGAGGAGAGGAAGAGAGCCTGTGACCAGGGTGGCACCAGCGCCCCCTGGCTGCAAGTTTGAGGGCAGCCATATCCTAGAACCCTCCCTAGACCTGCTCAGTCAGGACACTTGAAGGGAGCCCCAGTCATCTAGGTGTTTCTGATGCAAAGCCAAGGTTTTAGAGACACCAGAGACAAAGCCACAAGGCTCCATCACAGGCCACTTCCGCTTCTTCCACACAGCCCTCTGGGATGTCCCTTCCTATCTCTCATGTTGGTCGCACTTTGTTCCATCTCCAAGCTGCCTGCTGTCCCTCTACCACACAGGGGAGATGGTCAGGACATGTCCTCAGAAAGTTGAGGGGAGTGTCCCCCTCACTGGAAAGCAGGGACAACCCTTAAGCATCTCTGCATTTCCCACAGGACATCTGGTTATGTGTGGTGTGATGTGTAGCCAAAGACAGAGCAGAATGGACTTCTGAACTCCTAGGTGCCATCATGTGCTCTGCACATATGACCCCTGTGTGACTTTTCTTCATGAATGACAAATAGGTCCCTCCCCCATGGTCCCTGAGCCAGGTCCTAAAACATGGACCATGATGGGCAGTCACAGGATGCTGTAGTGTTAACCTGGGGACACCTGGGGACCCTTCTCACTGCCAGCCCTGGCCACCACAATTCCAAACATGGTGGTGCCTGGAACTGAGACTTAGAGCCCCATCTGGGTGGGGAACTCACCAAGTCAGGGAAGAAAGCCACCGCCTTCCTCCTCTCCGACTTGAAGAGCTGTGGGATGTCGATGATGTCATGGTCGGCCAGGCCCAGTTCCCGCTTCAGCACCTCTCTGTTCCAGTCGATGCAGCTCTGCAGGTGGGCAAGGGGCAGAGCTGGAGAGACCTTGCCAGGGTAGCTGAGAAGGGTGCCCAAGTGCCCACACACCAACTATCCACACAAACCTTATCTGCCTGTGTCCTCCCTTCACATGTCCTGCTCCACTAGTTGGGCTACCACTGAGAATGTTCCAGAACATCCCATCCTTGATTCCCCTTCTCCAGACCCCTCATTTTTTAGGGATTTCATTCAATCTCATGGTTTAAGATTTATTTTTCTTTTAATTATGTGTATGTGAGTGTGTCTGTGTGTGGGTGTGCGCACATGTGAGTGCAATGCCTGAGCAGGCCAGAAGAGGGTGTTGTATCTCCTGGAGCTGGAGTTACAGGTGGTTGTGAGCTGCCCCACATGGGTGTTGGGACCAAACTCTGGTCCTCTGGAAGAGCAGCAAGCACTCATTTCTCTAGCCCCCAGTCTCATAAGTTCAGACTTTCAAGTATAATGTCCCTACTTCACATCTCTGCTCAGATCTCTCCTGGGGACAGCACACATGACAGGCCAAAGGTAAATTTGTAATTTCTACTTCCTCTTCCAGGTTCTTCATTTCTGTAAATGTGACCACCCTCCACTGGGCTGTGGGGTCTCGGGCTTTGCTGTCCTTTCCTCTCACTTAATGACCAGCAGAGTGATCTACAAATGCCATCCTCAGTCTGCCCCCACCTGCCTGCTTCCCGCTACAGGTACTTCTGCCTCCCCATGAAGGCCACTCCTCTGGCCTGGTGGGCTGTGGTGCCTTGCTCACAGTTTTCCCATCCTTCTCACCTATGTGGTTGCCTTGGTAATATTCCCACAGAGACCCAACTGCAGGGGCATAACAGGGTATATTCTTACTGTTAGGTCTGACACTCCCCCTGAGGGTCAGTGTGCATCTCCCTGGGCACTCACGACCCTGGGTGTTTGTTTTCCTCAGGTGTAAAGGGACCACACCCTAACTTGTCCCAGTTAAAGGAGGGTCTGGGTCTGTTCCAACTTGAGCTTCTGTGAACTGTGGGTCCCATGTCTGCCCTGGCCCCAACCCTAACCCCATTCATGCTCGGCCCCCCACCCACAGCCTTGGTACCTGTGCAAACTTATTAAAGTTGATAAGGTTCCTGTCAGAAAGGACCTGGTTGATGGAGACAGTCTTGACTCGCCTGTCACCTGTAAAAGAGACAGCGAGACATGGGGGGCTAGCACAGGACAATGTGAGGGTCACCTGCTGGGGGACACAGAGGCCAGGTTCACAGCTGTGATCAGGCTGAGTCCGAGGTTCTAGAACTTTCCTGGGCAGGGGGTTAGGCAGCACCTGTTGGAGCTCAGCCTGGCCAAGGGGCACATCTGGGAGGGGAGGAGGGATGGGAAAGAGTCTGGTTGCTAGGGTATAAAGAACTTCAAATGAGTTCACTGGAAGTGGTAATGATTTAATTGGACTTAACAGTAGCCCTAGGCACTCGAGTGATTCCTCTTCCTTCAGTGCCTGGCAAAGCTGGGTCAGCTGATGCCCCTCCCCGCCAGGGCCAGGGTTTATGGGTTCTTTAGGCAGTGACCCAGCCAGTCCTGGGAGTCCAACACCATCAAGTCCTGGCTTGCTCTCCAGGAGTATAACTTCCCATCTGGCCTTCCTGCCTTGCCTGATGGTAGCCACAGAGAACAGGGGCTGGCCAGGGAAGGGGAGGTAGGAGCCAGTGGTGTGAAGTTCTCTCAGCTGCCAGTAATCCAGCCCCCACCACGAACAGGCCGAGAGAGAGCCCCACGGACAGCACCTCGCTCCCCTGTACCCTGCAAAGGGTGTGTTGTGAGTGTCACCGGACAGAGAGGGAACTGAGGCTGAGAAGTCAGGTGGCCTGCCCGAAGCCATACAGCAAGACACGAGTGTTCTGTGAATCTGGTGCTCACCAAGGTCTTCCAGGCTTGCAGGGGCAGAGGGCTCTTCCTCAACTCCAACCCCCTACAGCTGTGTAGGAGACGGACAAGCAGTCCTTCCTCACCTCCTGCTCCTCTCAGGATCAGAGGGATAAAGTCTGGGATGTACCAAGCCTGGGACTTGACACAGTGGCCTGGTGTGTCAGCAACGGGTCGGGGCGGTGCTGGCTGCCTACAGCTGACATCTGTGAGCCCCCGCACTGTCCTTCCCAGCTGGGCAGGGTAGACTAACTCTGGCCAACCTACTGCTCAACGTAAACATGGTCCCTAAGGAAAGATCAAAAGCCATCCTGTCCCCACCTACCTGGCACAAAATCTGGACTTGAGGATTTTTAAGATTGAATTTGGGTTCAAAGGAGTCTCACCACAGTCCCTTTGGGAGCAATGGATTAGCAAGTACAGTCTGTTTTATTGCCAGAGTCCCAGTGTTATGATGGGAACAAGGTGATTGTTTCTCGAGACAGACTCTCATTATGTAGACCAGGTTAGCCTCATACTCGAATGTCTCCGGCCTCAGTTCCCTGAGTGCTGGGTGACAGGCCTGCGGATGCCCACTGCAGCCCAGCCAGCCCTCTGAATTCCTCCTCTGAAAAATGAAAGCACAGGCTGCTTGTTCAAACAGGGTGGGAACAAAGGTATTCAGATGCAAAGTGCTTGGTCCACAGTCTTGACCTGTCATGGTTTTGAAAATTTGCTATTTGATATTGTATTCCTTTGCGCTCTGAGATGTGCTTTGAGTCAGGGTGGGCCTTCACAGCCCTGAAGCCTGTTTCTGACATCCCCATGTGACATACCTGCTAGGTCAGCGTGGCCCTCTGAGACAGGCACCTCCCTTTGCACACCTCCTCAAACAACCATCGGAAGTCTCCAGAATGCCACAGCCTCCTGGCAGAGATGTGCTGGCAAGGGGCACTCCCACTAAGTTGCCCACCAGATGCCCTACAGGGCAAAGGTGGTAGATGCCAGGCTGTGGGGCTCCTTCTTGTGCCTGTTGCCGGTGAGGCCTGTGGCTATACCCTGTGATGACCTAGGACAGCAGGCTTGGGAGCTGGGTCCCCAGGGCAGGCAGAAACCCCATCCCAGTGACCACAGACTACTAAACAGAGGAGCCTGATGGCACAGCACTGGGCACACCTGGTCACACCCTCACCTTGTTCTCCATTGCCATGCAAGTTCATGCCCCTTGTCCTGCACCTGCCTTGTCCTGTCCCCACCATAGGCACTGGTTGCCAGGTGAAGCAGGGTATGCTGTGTCAGGGGAAGGAGTCCTGAATTTTGTGGTGACCATGATGCTTTAAAACCTGCATTTTTTTTTTTTTTTTTGAAAAACGGTCTCCCTGTAGCCCCAGCTGGTCTGGAACTCACTTTGTAGACCAGGCCGTCCTTGAACTCACAGAGATCTGCCTTCCTCTGCCTCCCGAGTGCTGGGATCAAAGGTGTGCGTCACTACGCCTGGCTTGAAACCTGCATTTCTTTTGGGAGCTGTGATGCGCTTAATTCAGGAGAGGAGCAATTAGCTGTTTGCGGGGAGCTAGCACACTTACTCACCGATGACCCCCTGGAACAGGAGGGCCCTGCCATGCCCCCACTTCTGCTTTTCCTGGAAGAGCCGGAAGCAGGCGCTGGGGCTGGCCAGGAGGAGCCGGAAGCCCTGTGTGCAGAAAGCCAGCCCAACTGAGCTCATGGCTTTGAATGTTCCTGACCCCCAGCTCAGCCCCTGCCCCAAACACCAGACACTACCAGGGCCTGCCCTCATGTGCTAACCTTCCCATCCGGAGCAGGGACGAAGCTCAGAAACTCATCCACGTGGCCTACTGCCAGCCAGTCCACAAACAGCTCTACCAGTGGTTGCACCTTCTGTGCATGGAGGAATTCCCGCACCACCCTGGTGACTCTGCGGCCCCTCGACCTGGGCCCGGGGGTAGGAGATGCTCATGTAAAAACATACCCCAGAAATGAAACGAAATGAAACAATCAGATGGCAAGACTTCTGCAGCATCTTTCTCCAAGATGCACAGCTTCCTGACTTGGCATCCTGGAATTTGGGAGGCCAAGGCAAGAAGATTGCAAGTCTGAGGCTAGCCTTGGCTACATAGCAAGACTTTATCTCAAAACAGCAATACATTGTTTTTGTAAGCAGGAAAAACAACATGCATATTTTAAGAGCCCACTCAGGGTGAGATCTGGATAGCCACGCACACTGATAACAACCCACAGCACAAGTGAATGCTCGGAACCACTCCCAGACCCTGTCTGCACATTTTCCAGGACACAGAATACCCCCATCTTGCATTGTGCTGTGTCTGGGGACCATGGTTTTACGAACAGCAAGTGAGTCCCTACAAAGCTGGTGGATTCAGCTGTTATTTGATCTCTAGTCTGTTTTATGGGAAGTAAGCTCTGTGATAGTCTCCAAATCCATCAACAACCTGTGCCATATGTGCAACAACATGCTCTCTCCTTCTCTTTCCCTCGTTCTGTGTGTGTGTGTGCATGCGTGCACGTACATGTATGCTTTCAAATACGCAACTCTCATCTCAACTATTACATCTTAACACCTCTCTTCTGCTTCTAGGAACAGATCCAACATTAGTCATTCTCTTCATAGTATGAATAAGGTTTGACTTAAATACATTTTTCCCTCAGGACGATTGGGAAAAGAAACTTCTTCCTGTGCAGCTCTCAGCTGACAAACTCTCTTATCAGTATCATATATTTGCTCCACAGTCAGATGATCTCAGCCTAGCCATCAGTTTGCTTTCTGTGTGACTCAGCCTCTCCGGGCTCACTTGTAAAAGGGAAAGGTTGGTCCAGCTCTGGCCAGCTTCTTGGGTGAGTATCAGACTTGTCAGGGGAAGCATAGGCAGTGTCTGATGAACAGCCCGCCCTGTCCAGGACTTCCCTAGCAGACAGTGCTCCCCCATTCCATAATCATCCCCCCTGAACTCCCTTCCCCACGCCTCTCACCCGGGCAGGTTGCCCCCAATGAGGATCCTTCCCAGTGGATACTCCTTCCCATTAGCCACCACTGGCGGGCTGACCTCCAGGTTCCCAAATGAGTCCAGGCCACTCACAGAACTGTCTTGTGGCTCCCGAGTCACATAGCCAAAATCCAGACCCTGGTGGGGGGAACTGAGTCACATGGAGGGCAGAGCAGAGGAACCGCTTGACTTGTGCTTGCTGGGCTCTGAGCTCCTAAAAGATGGTGTGGGAACACTACCCCATTCTTCAGATGGAAATACTGAGTCAGAGAAGGGGTCTGATCTAATTAATATGTCATATGTGCAAAGGGGCCAAAGTTCAGGGCTCTGTTGCCCTGTTGGGCTGGGGTCACACAAGACAGAGGGAGGGCTTGGTGGCTTTGTACCTCCCTCAGACACAAATCCTAAGGCTCTGGCTACCCTAAACCCTACAGGGCCTTCTTGCAAAGTCCAGCCCAAGGTCAATTAACTGACTGTCCTGGGGTGGACCGTCCCTGGGGGCTGGAGACTGGCCCTCTGAGCCTCAATCTTCAAGTTCTAGGAAATGAATGGTCTTCCCCCTTTCCTGGTGTCTCTCAGAAGGAACTCAAATGCCACCCAGAGCTAGTCAATCTCTTGACAGCTTTGTGACCCTGTGATCCTAGGGGGAGTTGGAGGACAGTCTTGGCTCCTATGGGTCTGAAGGAATCTCCCATGCTGGTGTTCTTGCTTAGCAACCTCTACATTTATTTGTTTATTTACTTATTTATTTTTATGTGCATGAGTGCTTTTGTCTTCTTGTATGTAAGTGCAGCCATGTCATGCAATGCTCGTGGAGACCAAGAGAGGGTGTCAGGTCCCTTGGAACTGAAGTTACAGACAGTTGTGAGCTACCATGGTCCTCCGCAAGAGCTATCTCACCAGCCCTGAAACCTCTGCTTTCACCATTATGCTGTTTATTATCAAAGGCAGTACCACACACGCCCCTCAGCCCATCAAGGAGAGGATTCACAAATATCCAAGCTGTTACTATATAGGGCTACAGAGGCTCTGACGGGACAGCAACAATCCCGACATCACAGGGCAAGTGATTGACAGCCGGGAGGCTCTTCCACCAACTTACCAGCTGAATCAACCTTCAGCTATTTGGTAAATAAAAACATCAGTGCTCTGCTACTTCTGAATTACAGAGAAGTAGCACATTTTTGGTATATGTTCCATATAATCCATATAATGTGTGTGAAAAACTTATACCTAAAGGTCATATATTAATGTCTCTCTGCAATTCAGACTTCACTGTCCCTCTCCCTCAGTGTCTGGCCAGGGCTGTCACCCCTACAGAACCAGGTTCCAGGTGCTACTCCCTGTCCCCCAGGGTGTCCCTGGTGGGCGTGGCCTCTGCCCCCAGGGCTGGAACAGCCCCCACTCACCAGGATCCTTTTGTAAGGGAAGTTCTGCAGTTCCCCATTCCTTGGGGAGTCGAAGACCACGGGTAAGGTCTTGTGTGGTGCCTGTGAGTAGCCCAGCTCCATCTCATCCTGCCAATGGGGAGAGAACCTAGCTGTGGACAGACAGAAGCACCCCCAAGTGCTGGACACTGAGTGCTCAGGGAGACCTTAGCTGTGGACAGTCAGCAGAGCCCCCAAATGCTGGGCACTGAGTACTTGGAGTGAGTGACTTCAGGGCGGGGCATTCTGTCTCAGCTTGGCATACCCTGGAGGAAGGGAACAAGGGTCAGGTGCCTGCTGGTGGGAGGAGGAGCTGGAGACTCCTTTCCTACAGTCACACAGGATGAAGGAGAACACAGACTTTGTGGGTGTGCCTGTGCTGGGCCTGGGCAGGGTGGGTACAGAGAGCCTCAGGTGGCCTGAGTTAGACACACAGGCCACGGGACATCTGGCCTCCATGTGAAGGGCTGCAGGCAGGCCAAGCCTGAGAGACATCAGAGGGCCATAGCACAGGGATGCCTTCTCCTCTTGTGAAGAGGTCTAGAGCTCTCTTCAATAAGACAAAGATGGGTATGATCCAGGGAGCAGCTCGAGCAAGCGGCGCCTTGAGCTCTTTATAAACACTCACTCGTTAATCTGTGTGACACATCGATGGGCTAGATGGGGACAGTGGGGAATGGAGAGGTCTAGCTGTTCGATAAATGCAAGCTGTCTCACTCCAGGGTCCTGCCCAGAGTCACCTCGCTGAACACATCTCCAGCTGAACAAGAAACTCAGCTTCACAGTCAAGGCCTCCTACCTCAGCATTTGCTGTTCTCAGAACCACTGACCTGGCCAAGGTTTTCTCTCCTGCCTCCCACCTCTGGGCTTTTGCACATGCTGGGCTCCACAAGGACCCCCATCCTGTACCACCTTAGTCCCAGCACTGCCTTATCAGCTCCGTGGCCTGGGTGTCTCCCTGTGAACGTCTAATGACGGGAGTGATTACAGGGGTTGGAAAAGATGAACTGATGCCTGTGGGAACTGAGAAATGACAGAGAGCATTCCCTACATCCCCATGCCTGCAGAATCTAGTCTAGCTCCGAAACCCCTCCCCTAGGGGAGTTCTTTCCTAATCCCTCCCTCCTGGGTCCCTTCCCTGGAGAAGAGCTCTCTACCAGGAGCCAGCTCCTGGAGCTCCCAAGCCAGAAGTCCTACCCAGAGGCCCATCCCTGAGACCCCACCCCCTGGACCTCCATCTATCTCCCCTAGTCCAGGCCGGCACACTGTCACCCCCTTATTTCCTGGGGCCAAGGAATTCTATAAGTCATTCACATTATTGGAGCTTTTCAGCCCTGTGCTATTGACTAGTAGGATGAGATTGTTCCTTGTGGGACTTGTCTGGGCATTGCAGGTTTAGTGACACTCCTGGACTCCACCCACTAAGCCCCCCCCGCCCCCCGGACAACCACAAATGTCCCCAGATGCTGCCCAATGACCCTTCGGGACAAACTGCCTCTGGGCTCAGATGCTGCCGGCTGGGGGGGGGCATGCCCTGCTCCTCTGCTGCCTCACCCAGCAGCCCGCTCAGGTCTGTAGGTCAGTGTATGTGTAGAGCTCTGGAGGGCTCTAGGTCTGGGATTCGAAAGAGCAGTGGATGCCCCAGAAGCCCAGGGTCCTCCTGGGTGTTTCCTTGTGGGGCTGCTGGGTCCCTAGATACCTGGATCCAACGGTCATTACGGTTCTCCGCCTGTGGGCAGATGGTCAGTTTGCAGCCTGCCTTCCTGGCTAGCTCTTCCACAGCTTCCACAAAGTATGTATTGTTCCTCACCCTGTGAGCAAGTCGGTGGGAGGCAGGGGATTCAGAGCCAGGCTTCAGGGCCAGAGGGGCCTCTGAGGCTAGGACTCCACGTAGACTTACCGACACACATACACCTCCAGGGGTGGCTGGGTACTGGGTGTCATGATCCAGGGCGCAACCCGGAACACCACTGTGTCGGTGAAGATTGGGGTCTCAGAGAAGTCCTGCAGGGAAGGGCCAGGACAAAAGGCATGACTCAGAGTCCAGCGGCAGGGTGGGCATTGGGGTTGCCAACCCACCAGGGTCCTCAAGAAATCTCCTGATTTGGGCTGGGTGTTTAGCTCAGTAGGTAGAGCGCTTGCCTAGCACACAAAAGTCCTAAGTTCAGTCTCTATCACTGCATGAAGGTGGTGGTGCATGCCTGTAATCAGAGCCCTTGGGAGGTAAAGAGAGGAAGATCAGAAGTTCAAGGTTATCCTTGACTATATAGTCAGTTTGTGGGCCTTTCACATAGGCTAGATTCTGTAAGACTCTATCTCAAAAAAATAAAAGTGGTTAGAGAGACAGTTCAGTGGCTAAGAGCACTAGCTGCTCTTGCAGAGGACGGGGGTTCAGTTCCCAGCACCCACATGGTGGCTAGCAACCATCCATAACTCCAGTTCCAGGGGATCCAGTGCTCTCTTTTGGCCTCAGTGGGCATTGCACAACACAGGTGCCCTTACATACATGCAAGCAATACACTCACACACATAAAATAAAAATAATAAAGTGCATTTAAAAATAAAATAAGAATAAAAATAAAACAGTTCTCTGGCCTCTCCACAGGATGAGTTTGGCTCCTTCACACCAGCATTGCCCACATCTGCCAGGAACAGAGCCCATTCCTCACCCTCCACCCACCCGCCCTCACCTCATTGGAGTCATCCAGCAGTGTGACATGGAAGGAGATGAGGCCCGGGAAGCCAGTATCAGGGAAGGACAGACCCTCCACGAAGAATCGCTCCTCATCACCATTCAGGCGAGGTACTTCATAGGACACCATGTCCTGGCCCAGCACACACCTATAGGCCTCACAGGAGTCCTCGGGACCTGGGAGTGGGGCGAGTGTAGCCTTGACTCTCAGGCAGCCCAGGGAGTATGAGGGTCCCAGGAGAGTCAAGTGACCACATCCAACTGCAAGGCAAACAGCTCCTCCCCTTCCACTCCCATCAAAGGAGAAAAGGTGGCCCGGGACCCAGGCGGGCATGGCAGGGAAGGGCACACTTTCCCAAGAGCCAACAAGATAATGTTTACCCTAACCCAGCACACTGCCCCCACCATCTTTCCTATAAAATATGCATACAGGGGCTGAAGAGATGATCAGCAGTTAAGGGCACTTGCTGCTCTTCCAGAGGATCCGAGTTTAGTTCCCAGCACCCATGTAGGGCAGCTTACAGCCACCTATAACTCCAGCTCCAGGGGATCTGATGCCCCCTTCTGGCCTCCAAGGACACCCAAACTCACATGCACATTTCCCTCACAGACACACATGCATACACATAAATAAAAATAAATCTTTAAAATTATGCATACAAATTGCATAAGAAGCCCCACTTCTGGGGCTAGAGAGATGGTTCAGCAGTTAAGAACACTGGTTGTTCTTGCAGAAGACCCGGGTTTGAATCCCAGTACCCACATGGCAGCTAACAACTGTCTGTATCTCCAGTCCCAGGGGATCTGATAGCCTCTTTTGACCTCCTCGGGCATTGCATGACACGGGTGCACTTACCTACATGCAGGCAACACATGCATATACATAAAATAAAAAAATAATAATAAAAAGAAGCGCCACTTCTAAGGGCCAGAGAGATGGCTCAGGAGGTAAAGTATGTGATGTACAAGCATGAAGCTCCACCAAAGTTCTAACCCCAGAGCCCCTGTGAAGAAAGCTGGGCATGGTGGCACAGATTTGTAATCCCAGCACTCACTGGCCAGTCAGCCTGGCCTACTTGGCAAGTTATGGGCTAGTGAGGGACTGTCTCAAAACAACAACAAATGGTGGATGGCACCTGAGGTTGTCCTCTGGCCTCTATACATACATGCACACACACATATACATGCATATACAAAACAAAAATACTGTCCCCACACACTTCTGACTGCTCTGTTATACCCAGAGCATCCTTGTAACCTGAGCAGAGTCACACAGCTGCCCATGGCAGGGTGTTGCATAGAACTGTCCTCCGACAGGCAGACCATGGACAGACGCCATCTTCCCAAGCTTGGTTGTACCTGCTTGCCTAGGATCACCATAGCTAAGCTTGTTAACTGTTACACGTCACAAGAAAGGAGGGGCAGGGAGAGTCAGTCACATCTCCCAACCAACCAGTCAGCCCTAGATGCACAAGGGACGGGGAGTTAAGGGTATATTAGCTGAGGAAGCCGTGGGAAGGGTCTCTTGCCATTTTATGTGGCTGTGTGGAGGTCATAATCCATGCCTGAATGGAGACTTTCCAGTGTGGCCTTAGCAGGGAACACCCACGCTCCTGAAAGTAAACTCTCACCCACCACTCTGTAAGTAAATCCAATAAACTAACTGGGTTTCCAGACTGTAGTTTGGTGAAATTGCACCTCAGTTTGTTGTAGGGACCAACAGAGGAGGGGGGCAGATGTTGTTTGTGCCTGCCAGAGGAATTTTAGCTACATAGGGAGACAGAGACAATTCTCCTGGCAGGGTACCCAGCACACACTCACCGCAGACGTGGAAGACCCGTGCCCGCTCGGCATCATGGCTGGAGGTGTGGAGGACAAGTTTGTGGTCATCGAAGAGGGCTGCGGGGCCCTGGGTCCTTAGGACCATGATGGACATGTCTTCCAGGTCTGTGAGGCCAGATAGAGGGGCAGAAGTTGATAACCACTCCACAGGCAAGTCACTAAGTGTCAAGAGCTGGGAATTCCAGCCTTAGTGCCCAGAAACACTAGAATCCATCAGAGCAAACCACAGAGTCATGTACAACCATGTATGACATTGTCCTGCTTCCTGTCTTCTTTGGGGCCCGTGTGTATTCATCTGCTCAGAGCAAAGTTGAAGGCCACCTGGGCATCTCCACTGGGCAATGTCATACGTGTCAATGATGATCAATGTCAATGTCAATAATGCCCACTTCAGAAGATGGCATCTGTGAACATCTCATGTGGAATCCCCATCCCTCCCAGGACACTGCTGCCACATTCCTCACAGTGATCTGGGTGCAGACAGGCTTAGACTGTGGGGCGTCAATGGAACACAGGTTAGAGGTTCAAGGAGAGGAGGTCTGGATGTGGAACTGGGAGTCCACAGACTAGCTGTGAAATTTGGGGCGCTTCCTGAAGCCTTACCATCCTCTTCTTTAAACTGGGATGACAACACTCACCCATTGAATAATTAAACAAGGATCTGGGAAAAGGGCTTTGCACACAGTAGGTGCTTAAACAATGCCCCTGACTCCCCTGCAGGAAGGAATGGTGGGCAGCTTGTTTCCTTAGTTTCTGGCCCAGCATGAGTGTGGGTTCTGAGGAATCCCATGGTGAACTCTGCAGCAGACCCCCCACCGCCACCCAACATCAGCCTTTAGAACCCGGCTTGAGGGTAGACAGCCTTGTGGAGTAATGGAGCAGAGACCCTGGACATCCTGAGACCAGCCTGCCCCCCTGCTCCTGGCTGCTCACCTTGCAGGCAACGCACGTGCCGGTCACAGTTATCCTTGGCATCACAACCCACGTCATCCCGGTCACAATTCACCAACAAGATGGCTCCATGCCCCGCAGGACCCCACACCCACTGCCTCTGTAAGGGAGAAAGCACAGCTGGTAACAGGGGCTGGGGCCAGACCCTTCAGGCCTCGTCCCCAGCACTTCCTGGCCAGCTACCAAAGCTTTCCCTCTATCCTGGAAGAAGTCCACTTTCACTGAAGCAGCTCCTGCTGAAGAAGCGTCGATGGCTCCCTAGTGCTCACACTGTGGAGTCCAAACCACAGAGCTGTCTCATGGCTGGCTGTGAGGTGCCACTTCTGCCCTCTCACCTCAGGTCCTTGACCTAGATTGTAAATCTAGAACTTTCTTCTCACCAATCAAGGCTAGCCCAGAGCTGGCAGGCAACCCATGTGACTGTTCATTTTGATGAACACCCCCAACCATACCTGGTCCCTGTCTGGCTCCCCTGATTTCTACATCAGCTGAGAGTAAGGGGGGACACCCATAATGTTCTCATCCTTCTGACCCAGAGCACATGAATTCTACACTCAATGGCCTGTCCTGGGTCCAGTGGGGAGCTTACCTTATTCACGAACCTCCTCTCCTGTCGGCCCTCACAGTTCACATCACAATCCAGGGTGATGTCTGTGGGAGAAGGCCATAGCTTCCATGTTTCCAGCCTCCACCTCAGCCATCTGGGGCCAGGCAGATGGGTGTCATTTCCCAGGAGACACCCAGAGGTGGAGGCCCTGGAACCTCCCCCCTTGGAGGAGGAAGGAGGGTTCGAGCAAAGACTGCGTGCCCTGCAGAAAGCCCTCTTCCTTGATGGTTCCATGTTCCACAGCCCCAGAGCCCTCACTGTGTGGAGCAGAGCGGCACTGAGCCCAGGTGGTCGGGGGGACAGTCACCATCTTTATGAGGCTGCCTCAGCTCCCTGGGATAGAGCAGGGAGCCTGGACGTTGGCATTGGGAGTACACGGGTGTGAGGGTGGGCTCTGCCACCTCCCAGCTGCACAGCTTGGGAGCCTCTGCTTTGGCGGCTGTTCCCCCATCCACCCCACCCAACTTTCTCAGTGTTTCTCCCTGGAAACTGGAGGGATCTTACAATACAATGAGTATTCAAGGGGTCGGACTCAACCTCCAGGCACCACCAAAACCATAGTTCTTAAAGAAGAGAGGAGAAAGGGAGGGAAGGACTGTGGGTGATTTTTTTTTCCCACCGGTGGACAGAGCCAACCACTGAACCATGAATGGTGGCTTGTCACTGTGGGCATAAAGAAGCCCCCCACAAAAGAAGAGGTTCTGTGGGATTCCAGTTACAGAAAATCAGATAGCCTACAGAATTTGCCATGTGAGCTCGGGATAAACCACAAAGAAAAGCAAAGAAGTGTAAAACAACAGCTGCCTTTAGGGGAGGCAGGAGCTGTGAGGGGTGGACAGGGGCAGAGCATTTTGTAATTACTCATTTAGTGTGTATACTTACGTGAGTGTGTGTGTGTGTGTGTG